CATGTGACCAAGAACAGTTAATAAACTTAGCTATTTCTTTCAATGATTACCTTTTTTCAGGGATTAGAAAGTAGCCCAGTAAGATGTAAACTGATTTGCTTTTTCATCTTGCTAAGTGAGAACATGGTAATTTAGTTGGTAGCTCCAGTTTGAGCAAAGTATTCTTATCCAAGTAACACCGGAAGGCAATGCATAACCTGAAGAAAAAAATACATACACAATATGGATATATAATGCATACATATCGTTGGTATTGAAAAAGAAAAAGTTTAATGAAATAAACTTTTCCAAATCATCACCTAGCCTATAATCATCTCTCCAAGTTTTAACAATAGGAGGAGGATGAGGCGTTTTATACAGGACATTTTATGATTCCTTTAATTGTGGGTACTTATCTTTTAGTTTCTTTATAAACTCAGTTAGACTCAGTCAAACTCAGTTAAACTCAGTTAGACTAGATAACTCAGTTAAACTCAGTTAGACTAGATAAAATCAGTTAGAGCAGGTAATTTTGATGGCGTTAGTAAATAGAAAATTACTAATTTTTTTAAAACAAGGTCTAAAATGTAAGCATTTCACCCATATATGGGTGACATGTTCCGTATTATAATACGGAACATTTCTGTTAAATAGCTTAGTTTGTAAAATGCCTATTATTCCACCAGAACCATCATAAACTCCACCTAAATATATAAAAATATTAACTTTACGCACTAGTTTTGATAGAGCAAGTGTCGCACGATAAGGGGCACTTTATCATAGCTGCTAGACGTTTTAGACGTTTCACTAGTATGTAGTGTTTTAAGGCCAATGTACCAAAAAATTGGTGACTCTGACCTCTGCCGTAATCATATGCTTTTCCCACAGCATTCCCTTCAAAATATAAACTAAAAGCTGTCTCAACTGACAAAGCTGCATTAAGTTTAAAAAGAGTTATGACTTACAACTTTTTACCAGTTCTAAAAATAGCAGATATATGTGGAGTTGGAATATCATCATGGAGTTAACTTAATGAGCGAGTTACTCCAGCTCCTTTGTATATAGAGATTCCGGCTTCTGCGCACATTACACCAACTGACATTGCCTTTAATTAAAAAAGTAATGATTTTTGTTTCAAGAAGTATTATTACTTTTGATTTAAGTTTCCTTTGGGTGGTTCGAACGAAGGCTCAAAACCATCTGAGTGATTATAATTTTAAGAGCTTGGTTCTGTATATAATTTCTCTAGATAATCAAGTTCCAGGTTTTTTAGTATCAATTGCCTATTAGCAGGATGCTCAACAATTTTTTGACTAGTGGACACGGAGCTCTTTTTATCAGCCATTTGATGATTACAAAATATTTGTTCTTTGCTTTTTATTTTTATTTTTTTATCAAGAATATTAAACGGCATAAAAAAATCCATAGTTGATTTTCTCTTCAAACATTATTTATATTCAACAACAAGTTTATTTAGTTTTTTTATAATGCCAGCTCTGGTTACTGGCGGTAAGCTAAATTTCATGATTGAGAGCTGCTCCAAATTCTTCACTATTATTTGCATAACAGCTTTTGATGTTTGTGTGTCAATTAAATGGTGAAAGTAGCCAAAAATGTGCCGAACTCCTGGAATAGTCTTAAAATTAGCCAAGCTTTTCGTTCACAATCCATATGGAGCAGCTGATACCAAAAGCTCCCTTTATTCTTTTGAACATATTGATCTAGAGTTGTCTGCCTGTCTGCGAAAATATGTCTAAGGCTCGAACATAAACATGGATATCCTGCTTATAAAGAAAGCACACTAACCACTGCGCCACGGCCGCTCTTTCTCTTTGAGGCTCCATTAGCACTTATGCGGGACATATTTATGGAAATATATTTATAACTAAATTAGAAAATTAATAAAAATACTTTGTTTCTACTCAAACTTAAGCTTAAAATTTATAATATAATAATTATTAAGGGGTTGTCAGTTTCAATGTCAGTTGGTGTAATATGTGCAGAAGCCGGAATCTCTATCCACAAAGGAGCTGGAGTAACTCGCTCATTAAGTTAACTCCATGATGATATTCCAACTCCACATATATCTGCTAAACAGAAGCATTAAACATTTTAAACAAAATCAAGAATATAAAGCATCAATATAATATTAATAAACAAAATCAAAAGAAAACATAAAAATAGGCAAAAAAATGAATTCACACCGGCCATATAAACTAAATAACCGTGCAAGAACTTTTAAAAAGTTTTCACCAAATGCTTCACAAAAGGTCAAAGGGTGTTTTAATAGCGGCATTTTCTTGTAACTAAAAATCTGAGCGATGTGTGCACATTTAAAGATGGCAAAAATATTTTTTATTCAAAATATTAAAAATAAAAAAATCTAAACCTCAATTTAAAAAACTGTTTGTATTAAACCATAATTTATAATCATAGAAATAACTCCAGAAAATTTCATCAAAATTGGAAAAGCAGTTCTTGAGATAGAACGGCCGGCGTGTGAAAAAATACTATTTTGAGAAAACGCGAAAAGAAAAAAAAACTAGCACATAAAACTTTAAAACTTCAAGTAAAACACATACTATAGTTAAAATATCTAATAAAAAGTATTAGAAACCTCCTGCTTCATACAACTTCCCTTCTTTTTCTTTTTCTTTATCATTTTTGTTATGTTTATTGCCACAAATAATTTTTCGTCGCAACTTGTCTTTATCAATATTTCTATATTTGGAACGTAACAGATGTTTATAGTTTACATTTTTACAACCTTTAAGAGTATATACTCTTGGAATTATGTCCAAAGATTCATAAACTAAAATCGAGGCTTTTCGACAAATGTCAAATTTAGCCACTGCATCATAAACTCCGAATTCTAATTGACTGAATGATATAAATTTCGTTTTAGGTAAACGCTCCCAGATAGTGCCATTAAAACTTTCATTAGTATTTTACCGTTACCATTTACCATTAGTATTAGTCTTACCATGTAAGTACTTTTCCAAATGTGGTCAGCACTGAGTTCTGCAAAGATTGGCTTGATTTTATAAACAGTAGCTATTGGTCAAACTGGCCTAGATTTATAAGTATTTGTACCATTGGTTTTATCTGAATTATATTTGCACCAACTATCAGCTCCTTCTGGGCAATGTAGAAAATGTTGATAATTCTTCTTTTTGGAGGCAACATGAGAAAGTGATACCAGAGTACCAGCTTTTATAGATGCTAAATCTCCTATATTAGCTCTAATTGCAATACCAAAATAACTTTGCAACCAATTAATTGCCGCATCTGTTAACTAATGTCAAGGTTTTTAGTTTTTTCTTTAACTTTTTTAATCTTCTACCTATACGTTTTTGATAATGTCCAACACACTCAAGTTTTTTTAGTAGACATTCATAACATTTAAATAGCTCTTACTGTCTCCATCACCTAAATAGTTTACATAGAGAAGCTTACGTTCGGTAATAGAACGTTCAAACATTTTTTTCATTCTAACTGGCTCCATACCCTTTAGCAGACCCTTTGTAGTCATATGCACACTTATGTACGTTTCTCCACTCAGCAAAATGTAAAGGTTCATTTTTCTTTTTTGGTTCCATTAAAATACAAGCTTTACAAACTCTACTCATTGGTTCTCCGTCCAATACCTTTCCACTATCAATAGATATTGCAGTTACTACGCCATTATATGATGAAAAATCTCGTTGTTGCCATGTCCAATCACATGAAACACCAGTATCAACAATATCAGTATTCGAATCGTGTCTGATTTCCGCAGCAGCACTATACATAGTTTCTATTGCTACTTTTTTCACAACTTTAGAGATTGTTTTAGCAAGCCTGTCATACATTTCTAGTCATTGGCGGAGGAATATTCATTAAAGTAGTGAATTTTTCAAGTCCTGCGTGACCATTCCCAACGACCGCATTGTGTAAATAGCTTGCTTATTAATGTCGTATCCCTGCTTACCACTTTTTTTTGAAATACAAAAATTTTTACGAAATAGACAATCAGAACATTTTAAAACTAAAAAAAAGGCAAGTCCATGTCGATCTTTAAAGTTGTCAAAAAACAAAAGAGATTCTTCATTGAAGCACATTGGACAAATGAGTTCTTTAAAAATAACAGATAACACTTCTATATCTATAATTCTATATCCAGACAGTAGAGTATTATAAGAAGATTAAATTACATCAATTTTTCGTATTTTTGAATGTGATGCTGGAATATTTACAATATTATCAGAAGCGTTATTTTTATTTTCATCACTCAGACAGTGAATAATAGTGTCATTATTAATTAAAATATAAACGATTGCAGTAGATTCTTTAATTACACTATCAACAACTACTTCTTAATTAATTAATGATTTTTTATCTAGAAAAGATCTGCACCTTTTCCTAGCAAGATTAGTTTTTGCTTAGCTGAACAAGAAGTATAAAAGAATGAAGTATCCTAACCCAAGTTAAGCATTATACATCAGTTTTTAATTATTCTCGTAACATTAACTCACTATTAAAATACCTAAAATTTCTGCACTTAAGAATGATTTTTATAAACCAATTACATAAATGAAATTTATGGTAATTGTTGTCTAAAAATAGTCATGCTAAATTTTTGTTTTTTTGATTTTAGGGGGAATTTCCCCCTTAACTTTGTCTAATTTAAAAATAATATAAATATTCTATAACTAAGGATAATTATAGTATGTTTTTCAGCCATTGTAGCATTTTTTTTCTTTTTTCTATGAAGTAACATAAGTTGCAGCCTTTTAAAATTTTACAATATTAAATTATTTTTTATTTAACTATTCTTAGATTAGGTAGATTTATGTTAGAAAGAAACGATTTGATAATCTCTAAAACTTTTATGTCAAGAGCAATCTAGCCTTTAACGCACAATAAAATCTTTCATTTTCTTTTAAAATCCAATTCAAAACTTTACGCGTCAATCGTTCTGATTTCTGACTTAATTCCCTATCTAATCAGAAATAAAATTAGGAAACAAATTCACATTTTAGAAATATTCTTTTTTCCTCTTAAACCTTTTACATAAATATTTATACTCGTTTAAAAAAGTTAATAGTTCTTTTTAACTACGCCAAAAAAAGGCAAAAGTGACATCACTTTTTGGACATAATTGTTGCAAATTTTTTTAACTAGACCTTAGAATAGTCGCTCTCACTACATTTATATGTACTATTTTGAAGAGAGCAAACAACATTGGATAAAAAAAAAAACAACTTTTTTTCAATTGAAATTATATTTCTGATAGAAACACGTTTATATGATTCCAATCTAAAATAAAAAAACAAGAAAATTAGTAGCAAATAATTAATGCAACACTCAGCTAAATAAAATTAATATGTAATAATATAATGGAAAAATATATAATAAAAAATAGATACATTTGGGAAAAAAATTAAATTCTACAGATCAAATAACTTTAAGAACATTAAGTTTTTAAGGTCTAATCAGATCTTTAAAGCTCCAGAAAAAGAAAAAATTAGACTTATTTAAAAAAAAAGGTTGATGTAGAGATAAATAAAGTTTACATCAAGTTGATTTTAAGAAATTTTATAATGACTCTAGTAAAGAAATTTAAGATTATGAAATTTTAAATCAAAAATTTACCAAGAGCATATATGAAACAACAGACACACACAGTTTTGAGAAAGTATATTGATCATTTATAAAAAATCTCATTATAGATGTGTGTGTGTGTATATATATATATATACATATATATATATATATATATATATATATAATATATATATATATATATATATATATATATATATATATATATATATATATATAAACAAGAAAAATTTATAATTTGATCAAGTTTTTGTTTTTTTTTAATTTTTATTTGCTATATACAAAGACCTTTATAAATGATCATTAAATACTTTCTCAAAACAAATTAAATGTGACTAAAACATTTCCCCCCACATCTTCATATACTAAAATAACAATACTTGGTAACATAAATACAGATAAAGCTTAAAAAATTACTTTGTTTGCAACATCCAATGCATCATAATCAGTTGCAAGATGTACATAAGCCTTTTTTAAACCATCAGGTCTATAAAAAATAAATAGTCAATAAATCATGCAACTATAACATTTGTTACTATTTTGTTTTATTAACCTATTAAATATGAAAGAACATCTGAATATGTCAATAATACATCTACAAAATAATAGCACTTGGTTGACAATAAATTTACCTAATTAGAGTATTTACTTTAGCTACTTCAATGTCATAAAGTTTTTTTACAGCTAATTTAATTTGTGGCTTACTAGCACGAATATCAACAATAAATACTAAAGTATTATTATCTTCAATTTTTTTCATTGCAGATTCAGTAGTCAAAGGATGCTTAACTATTTGAAACTGATCTAGTTTGGTTCTTGAAGGTGCAGACTTTCTGGGATATTTAGGGGCTCTTCGGAGAGATAAAGTCTTAGGTCTTCTGAAATGTACAGAGTGTCGAACTTTATGTTCTTTTTTAGAATGAGTTCCTTTTACAACGGCTTTTTTAGCTTTTTCAGCCTGAACTTTGGCTTTTCCTTTACCTAAAATGAAAATAAATAAAAATTTCACTATTTTACATTTTAAGTATTAAGCTAAACACACTTTTAATTAAACCAAATTTGTTTGCCATTTGATTTAATAAACAAAACAGTAATTTATCCAAAAATGATCTTTAAAAATTATATATATACATTATTTATAGAAAATACATATTTGTATAAAATATAAATTATAAAAACAATAATTATATATTATTGCTAATGTAGATTACACGACTAAAACAACAATAAACAATTAAACACAAATAAATTTTTGAGAAACATTACAGGCAAGTTGATTTTAAGAAAGCATATATAATGCACAAGTTTAAAATTAAAAACTTTGAAGCCATTTTTTGAACCTAACAACCATAAAATTTTACATTTTTTTGTTAAAATATATTTATTTTATACAATATTATAATGAACTTAGCAAAGATTGTTTTCAACAAACTTAATGCTTTTTAAAACTTGTTTACAAAACAAAAATGCTTAACAAGAGATGCTACATTTATCTGTTGCAACAGTGTCACTTGGGGAGTTTTGTGACTTTTGTTTAACTTTTTAGAAATTCTGTAATGGTTTAACTTTTTAGAAATTCTGTAATGGGACAGTTACGTGTAAAAAAGTAGCATTTTAGTACATATAATAGCCATGTGATCTAAATAACGATTTAACAGAAAACTTTTTGAAACTGTTTTAAATTTGAGTTCAAAAAAAATACAGCTTAATAATGGAAATTCCAGAAAAAGAAAAAGCTTTACTTAGAAAAGGTAACATTTGAACGAGTTAACAGTTGCCATATATAATAAACAGCAATTCAATTTATTATACAATAAATTTAATGTGACAATCGGCATAAATAATTTTTTAGCAGTGTATATTATAGTATTGATGTACAGTGAACATAAAAATATAACATGCAAATTGATAACAGACAACCATAAATGTATTAGATGCTCAAGCTTTATATAACCAAATTTTTATGGCTGACATGGAACAACAGCGTCAACAAAACCTCAAGATATTTTTAACAAAACTATGATAAAATTCTCTGACGGCCATAGCATGAACACTTCAGTCAAATATTTATAATGCTTATGTTTACAATTCTTATTTCTTCAATTCTTTATTCTTATGTTGAATTAATAAATTAACCAAATGTTAATGTAAAATAGCTAACAAAATATATACTTAAAAATATACAATCAATCTTAAATTGTTGTACAACTTAATCTTTAAGTTGGTATCAGCTTATTGCTAAAAATAACCATCATAACATAAGTGTTGCAAAAGCAGTTGAAGAACAACACACACTGTACTTGATAGAATAGAGAAAAAAACAATTTTTGATAACCACTTATTACCTTTGTCGACAGTTTTCGCCATCTTGGAAACTCGTGTTTCAAAAAGAGTGACCTCATAATAATATCCATGTTGTATTCAAATAATGCTTGCCTTTCACACTATAATAATTTCTGTATTAAAATAAAATGTTTAAGGATTTTTATATTAAAAGCTAACTTAAAGCAAGCAATAAAAGCTAAGAAGACTTAGTTATATAAATTATAATCTATTTAAAGCTACACTTATAAAATTTTATAATTTAAAGATATAAAATTATAAAATAATAAATAAATAATAAACAAAAAAGTAAATTTTAATTTTAATTTAAAGATTAAAGTTTTTATAAAACTTTATTTTATTGAAAAATAGTCTGTAAAATGTTACATATAACTCTTGTCGAATTTAAATAATAGCGCGTCAAATAATGTAAACATTCAGACAACTTTTATTGAACGGGTTAAATAAAAACTAATCATTTATAAAATAATTTATATAATTATAATTTACAAACGATTAGTTCCCTAAATTTTATTATAGCAATCTCTAAGTTTCAATTCAAAATCGTCAATTTTTTTGATACAAAATTAGTTTATTTAATTTATAAATTATTAGTAAAAATATTTATGAATTACGTTATTATAATAATATATATTATAATAATACATGATATAAGTATAATATAATATATATCAAGTTATTTTTATCAGAAATTTTTTATTTCTTGCGCCTACTAGTGTTTTGTAAATATTTGGTAACTATCATCTTATAAAGTTTTAGGTTGTAAATGATAAAAATAGAATTTTAAAATTAGCTATTTTCTTATAAAGCTTTTAATTTGTTAGTATTTGTTACTAAATATTTATTAATTTAAGCTATTTAGGTTATAAGTTTAAATTAATCTCCAAAACTAACAAATACTCTAGAAAAAATAAAACAAAAAATTTTATTATCATTACTTTAATTATTAATATTGTTAATATTATTAATATTATTAATATTATTATCATTATTATTTTATTGTTATTAACATTTATAATTTTATTTTTTTTGTTAAACATTTTTAATTATGAGTTTTTGAAGAAGTATTTAGGGGCTATCCATAAAAGATGTCACCATTTTTTAACCATTATTTGACCCCCTACCCTCCCCACTCTCCTTTGTCACCGGTTGTCCTTTTTCCCTATACTCCCCCCCCCCCCTTGAAAAGGACATCATAAAGTTCTGACACCCCCTCCTCCTATTTTGAAACCTTAAAAAAGTTTATTTCATCTTGCAATGATGTTTGAATCTGCTGCTATACCTTTGAAAAATAAAATTAAAAATATTCTCAAACATTTTCTTCAAAACACATGTTTATGCAGTTTTCCATGTTAATTAAACTAAAATAAAAAATATATAAAGTAATGTCCTTTTATGACAACCCTTCCCCCTTCCTTTGTCCTTTTTTGTCCTTTTTAACTCAACCCCCTCCCCTCCCCCTATTTGGATGATGTCCTTTATGGATGGCCCCTTAAATTTAAAAATAAAAATTTGAACGTTATATGCTACTACTCCTAAACAATTAATATAAATTCAATTTATATGCTAATAAAGTTTATGATAAAGTTAGTGATTTTTTGTTTCAAAAGTACAATTCTATATTGCAGGTTATGTCTAATAAAATTATTTTAGCCTTTGGTGACTCACTAACTGAAGGTTGGATTAATGGTGGCAGACAGTTTTATTCTTTTACTTCACATCTTAAGCAACTTCTTAACAATAAGGGTGAATCTTACTATGAAATTGTTAATGCTGGATTAAGTGGCGAGGTTGTGTCTCCAGAAATGTTTTTAAGACTCCCAACTATACTTTCAAAGTACAAACATATTGACTTACTTATATTACAAGGGGGCACAAATGATATTCTTAATTATAAAAATATTGTTTCTGCTATGAATCTTTTTGATGAATTTAAAAAACTTATAGACACTGCTTTAAATTACAATGTGAAAAAGATATGTGCACTCACAATAATGGAAGGATATTATACTGCTTCGGATAATGCTGTCTTGAGTCATACAGAATGTAACAAGGTTCGGTTAAATTTTAATAGACAACTTTGTGATTATGTTCGATCTTGTGGCAATAGCAAAACTTTTTGTTGTGATATCTCTTCAAAGTTGCCCCTATTTTCTTTGCAATCTGCAGAACAAAAAATGTTTTGGGATGATTTATTGCATCCAAGCATTTGTGGCTATAAAAATATGGCATTGCATATTTATAATGATATTGATGGAAAGTTTTGAACATTAAATCTTTTTATGTGTTTACAAATAAAATTATAGACATGCATATATATTAACAAGATCTATTTTTATAGTTTTTTTTTTTACCAATGTTTTTAGATGCTTTAATCTATATCCACACGCGTGCACACACACACATGCATACACACACAAATGCTTTGTTAATGATAATTTTTACAAAACAAAATTTACATTAGCATTAGTTAACTATATATAAATAAAATGAATTAAATGAGTTGTATACCATGAGCGATATAATTATTGGTAATGGCATTCAAAAATGGAAAAAAAAAACACAGAATGGGTGCCAGAAGATCAAATGTTCATTTAATGAAAAGTAAGCAAGCAAAGCATTTGTTATCTCCCAGTATTGTTCCAGTTGCAAACAAAGATTTTCTGCTTAAAATCATTTCTCCTATTTTGTGTTTGTGTAGGACAATTTCTAAGGTAAAACAATAGTTTCTAAATTTTATCAAAGTTTTTTTTTTTTACTGCAAATATTGTAAATAAAAAGTTTAATTTTTTATATGGAATTTTTTTCAGCAACCACTTGTGAGCATAATTAAAACTATGTGTTTAAAGTTAAGACTTGCAGCAGCCTATTAAAATATCACATTTTTTGAAAAATATAAAAAATTACATTCACTTTGCAGGCATAGAAAATAGCGTAAACAGTTGAAATAAATTATGAAACTTTTTACCGGTGAGGTTCTATATATATCTCTATCTTATGGCATAATTTTAGCATTTTGAGTGCAATGCTTTATTAGTTTAAAAGGATACCTAATAGCGCAAGTTATATTATATTTAAAAAAAATAAAAATGCTGTAAAAAGAAGTGTATATACACATGAAATACAAGTACACTAATTTCTTTATCTCTGATATACATAACTCATAATACAGTGTTAATGGATGGAGCACTTATTTGACATATTACTTTGTCAAATGAAAGCCCAACACTGACTTGATTGTGCATCATTGGTCTATTTTAAATTTAATTTGTTTCTATGCATGAATTTTACATAAACATCTTATTTTTCATTACAGATCTAATCACAAGCTCTATGTACCATTAATCATCATAAAAGTATGTAATGTGTTGACCAGGTTAAAAGTTTGAAGGAACTTTTTTTGCTAACTTAATATTATTCAGCAAATGGATATCATAGACAGTATCACTAGAGATTCTGCGTAAAAATAATTGCTCTCCACCTGGTACAAAACTGTGATAGCTTCTTGTGCCTGAGACTGTGCTCATCTTTTCATATCATTTCTTTAGGTTAAAATAAGTTTCATGGTTGTTGATATCATCCCTTGAAATGTAAAATATGTTAACACCTTTAATGTTTTTTTTAGCCCATGTAAACAGCTCATTTGGTGTAAGAATTTGGTTTGCATTTGCTGCTTCTTTTTTTTTATTTCCTCCTTTTCCATTACATGGACATTTGTTATGGGATGTAGCAAAGAAGTGATGCTCAGCATTTATATTATGATCTTCAAAATGGTAAATTAAGTTTAGCAGACATTTGTAATTTTTGTACTGTGACACAGCACCATCACTGAAGTATTTTACTTTATTGATTGTGGGTAGTTTTATTTTTTTCATCTTTGTAATAAACAGCAAATGGATGTAAGGCAGCTTGATCGGATGCCAGTAAAACCCTTGTACAGCATTTTGCACAAGAAAACTATAGTTCTCTGCAAAATCCATAAGAATAAGACAATTCTGTTGATCTATTTTAGTCTCTAAAATGCCTCTGATAAGTAAGAGGATTATGCTTCCTTGATAAAGTGGTGATTACGAAGGTCATACAAAGTTTCACTTAGAGTTTTAATAAACTCAGTAATGCTTGTTTGGTCTGTGACAAGTGCAGTTGGGTCAGTTGACACCCATTGTTTGATTGTCAAAATCATTATTTTCAAACACATTAAACCAAGTAAGTTTTCGAATTTACTTTACCGGGGCAGTTGGAACATAGATGAAACATGCAGTTTCGACTATCTATATTACAAACATATTTTCATCAAATCTTCGTAATATATTAAATGACCCTTAGGTAAAGCAGCGCACATCATTTTAGCATTTTGATGATAAGAACATATGCAAGCTGAGTGACTTCCACTACTGTCGACTGTGATGCACTACTTCGGCCTTAGTTCACAGAACTTGCTGAATCCAACTTTGTGTTTAGGGTATAACTTCTTAAACTCAAGATAAAGCTCCTATAATTGAACTAATATTAAATGTTTTTGTTTATGAACTTTTACATTATTTATGCACACAGAAACAAAGTCTTTTTCTCCTGGACATTGTCTTGTGAATTCTTCAGTTTCATAAATTTCAATGACCTTTTGTTTAACAATATCTTCCAAAGGCTGTCCTATTTTAGCCTTAAGTTTAGGAAGTATTCCTTTTTCATTTGTCAACTTTTGAACTTTCTTAACAAGATGTTCTGAAACTGAAAATGTTTGTAAGTTTTTTCAATTGACAATGGTACCCAACAGATATCATTTCTCTGTGCCCAAATGAAGTTTTGAGAAGGACCATGATATATATAATATATCTAAATTCTCATTTAGCCATGAGATGAACGTTACAAAATCACTTTTGTAAAGGCTAGAATTGACAGAGAAGATGAGTTCCTGAAAGTTAGCCTGTGAGTTATTGAATTAAATCACCACTCCCCCAGCAAAACTCAACTGCACAAGCAAGATTTTTAAGGACACTAGTGTCAAACAACAACTCATTATTGCTGTCTCTGAGGAGCTTCAAAAAAATTATACTAACATTTCACAAGTACTTTAGTTGATTAATTTGAAAGACCAGGAATTTGTTCTATCCTGTGATCTAAAACTTGCTAATATTGTTTGTGGGTTTTAAACACACTCAAGTGCACATCCCTGCACCTGATGTGAATCGGGTTCAAAGGAACTTGTAAATCAAGGGAAATTGAGGTTTTTTGAATCTCTGGAAAAAAATGTCTCACTCTTTAAGTCATCAGGTTACAATATCAGAAAAGCTTGTGACTACAAAAATGTTGTTCATGGGAGGAAGGAACTTCAAAATCAAAGTGTCTCTACTTGAAGACACTTTAATTTTGAAGTTCCTTCCTCCCATGGAATAGTATCTTTTAATTGAACTTTTTAATCATCTTTTTGCTGCTTTACTTTTTATTTTACTAGTTTTTTCTTAAGCAACTCTTTGGGCTGATGCATTACACATTAAACAACAATTTTACCATGGTGGATATTTTGCAGGAAATGAGTCAAAAAGCTGCTACACAATATTGGTATTCTTCAATCAATTGCTGAGAAACACTCTTGCTATGCAACCATCCTATATGTTGATACTTTTCGAAAGTTCAATTCGGTAGTGTCTGGCTGTTTTGGATGTAACCTTAATCCACAAGCTACCCACAAATAATTGAAGCATTAAGAGTGTCTTATCTGGCAAAATGTGTCTGTGACCTATGTGACCTAAGGTCCATGCAGTATTTTTTATGTGAAAGATTTCATTGACAAACATGGCCAAGCTCTTGGGCTTTACTCAGAACAGGCGACAGAAGCAATGCATCAAAACTTTCAGATACATTAGGAAAGGTACAAAAGGCCCAATTATCCTTAATACAGTAAGAAGTTGCAATGTTGACTCGTTAACTTCAATAGTAAACAATGCTTGTGATAAGTCATTTTAAGAAGGGATATAAGAATGAGTTATTTTAGAGTTTGTTCCATGTAAAAGAAATTTTTTTGTAAATATATTTTATGTTTGCTACTTGTATAACTTCAAGAATATATCATTTTGCTTACATTATTAATATTGATTTAAATTGGAGATTTTTACTACTATAAAAAGCAAAATAAGCTGTCATTTTGCAATGACTTATTTTGCTTTTTATAGATATCTAAATGAAGTTTTTAATCATCTTTTTGCTGTGTTACTTTTTATTTAAAAATTTTTTCTTAAGTAACTCATGATTGTTTGTGCAATCAATAAAATATCTTAGTAAACAAAAGATATATTAATACGTATTAATATGTTTATTAAACATTGAAAACACTTTTGTGTTTACTGGGATGAAAATTCAAATGTAAATAACTTGCCAGGACATTCTAATCTGATTTTGATACTTATATCTAAGTGATCCCTAAAGTGTGGGCTATCATTCCACCAAAAGGTTTTCCTGGGTCACAAAGTTAAGGTTAGAACCTGTTTTATAACACTGTGGACTGAGACAACTGCATTGCTTGGAATGTCATACTCTGTCTATGAAAGAGTTAAATTCTATTTAAACTTTAACTATGTCCAAATTAAGCCAAAATGTTAAACATTAAAAACTATCCCCACCATTAATTTTTTTGTAAACTTTTGTAAACTGATATTTTGAGTTTAGTTATTTTTAAGTTAAAACAAAGAGTATAATTTTTTTTCTTTGAAGTTTAATTATATATTTTCTATCAGGTTTTTTTGATACCAAGATGGTTAAACACATTTTCACCTGTTGAAAAAATAGATATTCTTGAAAAAAGGATTTTATACTTGGAACATGAAGTTAATTTATTGAAAAATCAAAATAAAGTAAATTTTTTTGTAATATATTTTTTTGCTTTATGATAAAACTAATTTTATTGTTTATTTTTATTTTTTTTTATTTTTTTTTTTTTGTTGCTTTGTTTTTTATTAATTTTAACTGGCTTTGTATATTATTTTAATTTGTTTGCTACAGGTATGATTGTCTAATTTGGGTTAAGATAAGAGTTGAATTTAATGGCTTTAGACTAAAATTTTATTGAAATTTTAAATTGGTTTAAATTCTGCTAAAGTTTCAAAAAAATGTGTAGCAATAGATTAAAATCTTGGCTAAGCTAACTCACCGCATGAATTATTCTTAAGTTTCAAAGAAATTTGTTATGGTTCACAATTGATAAGTAAATCAATTGTGTTAAACAGTTTGTGACTAAATTAAAAAGATATGCCTGAGCTATGTTTTTTAAAATTTATAATAAAGTTCAATCAATAAAATTCAATCTACATAGTAAAAGAAAAAATTAAAAGTTTCAAATGAGCTCTAGGAAGTGACCGGGGTCCGGGCCCTGGCTAAAAATGAGACTTTTTCCAACCGCAACCCTGGCAAAATTATAAGATTTACCAGGAGTTGATAGCCGGTGCTAGAAAAAAAATTATAATACTATATATATATTATAATTTTTTACTTACATTTACTATTTATTAAATACTGGCATTTATTTATATTTTTTTAAACTCTAGTTTACTACCAACAAGGTTGCGAGCAACTACTATTAAGTTAATAGTTACATTTAAATAAAGGGTTGGTTAAAAAGGTAGGAAACGGTTAACTGAAGACTTATAGGTTATATATGAAAGAAAACATGAAGATAGTTAAGAGTTAAAAAGTTTTTTTGATGTGCAAGGAAAAAAACTGGATTAATAAAAATTTTTATAGCGTGAAAAGACAGATATAGTAAAAATAAGCAACTTGTTGAATAAGAAGCCAAGCAAAAATGAGTTTTTGTTTAATGTAATATGATAGCTCGTTTGAGCATCATAGAGCAAATGAGGAAGGCTAAAGCTTGATGATGATGATGATGATGACGATGATGATGATGATGATGATGATGATGATGATGATGATGATGATGATGATGATGATGATGATGATGATGATGATGATGATGATGATGATGATTATGATGAACATGTTGATCATAATAATGTTAATATACGCATATATATACAAAATATAACATGAATTTTGAATAAAAAAATATACTTTAGGATGTATGAATGTTTTTGCAGCCCCGTTCACAAACCCGGTGCTGGCTGCATTTTATCAAACCTAGCCCCATCCCCAGTCAAATATCAATCCCACTCATTTAGTAATTAAATCTAATACTAGTTATTTTTTTGATTCTGTGAAAAGATTCTGATACTGTTTGTTTGTTTTTTTAATGTGTGACAAATGAACGAATTAACTATTTTATATTATTTATAGCTGTTATCAATTTCTACATGTCACACAAGTCAATCTACAACTTCTCTGCCCTTGCTGAGTCTTCCTCCACAACCACCTCCACCTCCACCATTGCCAGTGTTTGTTTTGCCAAGTCAACATAATTCAGCAAATATAAAAAGTTGTGCAATGGTAGTATTTTAATTGAGATTTAAATAATTTATTTATTATTAATGGTAGTATTTTAATTTTTATTTATTATTTGAGTATTTTAATTTTTATTTATTGTTTGAGTATTTTAATTTTTATTTATTATTTGAGTATTTTAATTTTTATTTATTATTTGAGTATTTTAATTTTTATTTATTGTTTGAGTATTTTAATTTTAATTTATTGTTTGAGTATTTTAATATTTCAATTGAGATATAAATTTTTCTCCTGGTGTTCTCTCAAAAAAGGAACTGCAATGAAACATTAAAAAACTTATAAAATAATAGTTATAAAAGTTATATAAAAAACAAAATGTTTATTTGTTTAATGAAATTAAGTTTATTTTGCTGGGCCAATGTACATTTAATATTATTAATTGATTCTGGTAATACTTTAAGATGAACTGCATTGAATCTTTTTTTTGGCAAGCCTCCTAACATCTGAGGTGACTTTTTGTTAACAATACTTGATTCTTTATAATTAATTTTTAAACATTTTGGTTCGTAAAAACTTTAAACACTTTCCCATGTAGACTAAACCTTTCAAATAACCCAAAAACTCTTCAATTAGTTTTGTCTCATGACTTTTGGCTGGATTATCTTTCTTAATAAAATAATTGGTATTTTTACTGTCCAGTAAAGAAATACCATTTTTAACAAGCTGAAGGTAAATCATGCCAAAAATAAAGCTGAAGCTAAATTATGTCATAAGAGTATTGATTTTAATGTGTGAACAAAGTCAAAAAAATTTATTGCAATCTTTTTTGTATGTATTTTAGTTAACTGAGTAGCAATATATAATACTTTTTTATTTTTTTATTTTTTTTTGGGGGGGGAGGGTAGAAAAATGTTCTTGGGATTACTGGTGTAGTATCCAAAACTCTCTACAGCTGTGGATGGTATTGTCTTATTAATCTGGTAGTCTTATTGATGCAGTAGTGGTGTAGTGGTAAGAGCGCTCGCTTTATAAGCGAGAGGTTCGGAGTTCGACTCCCACCATGTCCCTGGAAGTACCGCCCTCAACTTAATTTCTCCGCGCAGCGGCCTTGCTTGTCAAGGTTCGTGTTTCGGAGTTAAAGAGTTGAGAGAGGGTTGTACCATGATTTACAACAACAACAACAACAACAACAACAACAAAAAAGTAGTAGCCTCCTCGACTGTAGTGGCCCCCTTGGGCCTTGGGGAGGTGAATAATTAAAAAAAAAAAAAAAAAATCTATGAGCGCATGTGGACTTTTTTTTTTAAAACTTATTTTCTAATAGTTGCTTTGCCATCGTTGTCAAAATAAGCTTGCTGCTTATTTTGACAATAATTTTGACTTTTTTTTACTATTTTTGCACCTTTTTTTTTTAAGTTTTTTGGTTTTCTGTACTCATTCCACTTTCTTTTAATTATACAATATATTTGATATTACAAAAAAATTATAATGCAATATAAAGTTATTTTCAGAACACATTTTTTATATAAGTAAAAAGTTTTCCTCATTTAATACTATTTTTGTAGAACTTGTACAAATGTTTTTTTATCTACCATTTTTAGGCTACCATTTTTAAGCAATCATTTTTAGGCTACCATTTTTAAGCTCACTCTTATAAATAAAGATCAATTATTTTTGATCAATACTTTTTTGTTTTTTGTAATATTTTTTTTATATTGTCTAGTTTATGTAAACACTGAGACATATGTTGTTTAAACATTTGCGCAATAGCCATTGCATTTTGTGTAGTTCTATTTTTGAGAAAACACTTGTAACTAATTTATTTTTTATTTTTAATATTAGTAATTTTTTTGGTAGAATTCATCAAAAAATAGGTTAGCAACTGATGAACTTCTAAAAGATATCACATTGCACAAGGTTCTTCAAACAAATGTTAAAAAGACTGTTAATGAAGAAAAAAAAGTCCCACTAGTTAGTGTACAAGATATAAAGAATGTAAAATTGAAAAAAACTGTTTACAAAAAGACACCACATAGAACTCCTCCATTAAATATGGCATCAACTTTGTCTGCACTTAGAGCTAGAAATGTAAATATTAAAAAGTCTTCAGGAAATAAGAAGTAAGCATTTTTTTTTCTTTTTTTAAAAAAATTTAATACGAAATATGAATTATAAATAGTATTGGCAGTTTTTTGAACTATTGCAATAAAACAAGAACACTTAAATATCAAACCTGATAGCATAAGCTGTATTTAGTTATGAACATTTTTGAATATTTTTTTAAAATTATTTGTATTTAAAAAGATGGTCAAGACAGTTTTGAAAATGATCCCTGCTCAGGGTGTTCTCAAGTCTTATATTTAGCTGAGAATGTTGAACAAATGCGTGCTGTTATTGAAGCAAACCCTCGTGCAATACACTATACTAGACAATGATGAACTTTTTTACAATTAATGAAACTATTTATAACTTTTTATTGAAAAAAAGAAACTTGCATCATCTCACATACTCCTCAACTTAGCTGGTCAAAATTTAAAGGTTTGAATTAGGGCATATATAGAAAATTTAGTCCTATTCAGAAAGGGCCCATGGACCCAATGTCATATTATTAAAAAGGAATGATTTTGTGGTGGTTTTATTTTTTAAAGTTGGTTGCAAGTTGGCCAATTTTAGTTGGGTTGATGAAGATGGAAGCTTAAAAATTGTAGTAAGATTTTTCCTACATAAGTTAAGCATCAAGTAGAAGTTGCAGCAGCTAGAGCAAACCAAGTACTTGGCAAACTAAAAAAATCTTTTAGCACAAGAGGGCTAATGTTATGGAGGGTACTCTATTCAACATACATTAGACCTCATCTTGAGTATGCCATCCAAGCCTGGTCTCCTCACCTAAAAAGTGACATAAAAGCACTTGAATGCATTCAACAGCGAGTAACAAAGGTGATAAGCAAGATAAAACACAAAAGCTATGAGGAAAGACTGGCCATACTCAATCTTACCACTCTAGAAGAGCGTCGAAAAAGGGGCGACCTCATTCAACAGTATAAAATCACTAACAAAATAGAAAAACATACTTGGTAGTTCATCAAGTATATGCCCAATCGCTATCAGATAATAATTTGCGTGGACATAATCAGCGACTATCACGGCAAATTGTTAAATTTTGCCAAGAACAAGACAATTATTTTACTAATCGAGTTGTTAACAACTGGAATGGGCTACCAGCAAATGTAGTCAATGCAAGTTCTACGAACATTTTAAAAAGTCGATTTAATGCATTTTCAAAGGTAACCAGGATACACTGTGTGTCCCAAATTACATCATCATAGTGGTGCCTGATGCTGCACCACTTCATCAAAGTTTACAATTCAAACTTTATTCTTTTATGATGTTTTTTTTTTTTAAATGGCTCGTAAATTTTTGATTTATGAATAAACTAATTCAAATTCATAAAATTTTACTACTGATCAGTAACATGTGAGAAATTGTTTGAGACTTATATGAGAAATATGGCAATGAGCTAAGATAATCTGTGAAACCATCACAGACTGTATTAATTGAGTCAGAATCTGCTTTATCTCCCTTCCCAATCTCCTAATCTTCCGATTAAAATCCTAATCTTCCTTTGTACTCATTTGATTACATCAAATACTTAACTATTTTACTTTAAAATAAAATAAAAGATTGATGATTATACTGATGTTGAAAATCGTAAAAACCTCAAACCAAAAAACCATGTAACCAAAAAATCAAAAAAAAAACCATGTAACCAAAAAAAACATACTACAAATCTTAAAACTTTGTCTATTTATAAATAATGTTTACAAATTTTAAATTATTACTTTCTACAAACAATAAATAATTCAATTTTTTAGTACTTGGTAAAGTTTCCATTTATCATAACTCAAAATGAATGACTTGAAGAGTATAGATTTTATTATTTTTCCTAATAACATAACAGTTGTTTTAATGTTTTTTATGTGTTAATTACATAACAGTTGTTCTAATGATGACAAAGTGTTTTTATAAGTTATGAAAATGGTCTATAACCTCACTTAAATAAATGTATATTTACTTTTGTCCTTGCTGTTGCTGTTCATGTTGGTTATAGATTTTGATTTTAGTTGTTGAATACTTAAAATCAAAGTGTTTTTTAAATTTGTTTTGATTTTTATTGTAAATTTTCTTTCAAATGAACTAAAACAAAGTATTTGCATGTACAAGAAAAAAGAAAATTCAGTAAATTATTTCATATACACATAAAGTTTTTAGTTAAAGAAAGAATACATTTTTCAAATACTATTTACTCATTGAATATAATTTTTCAGAAATTTTGCATTATTTGTAAATACCTTATATTTAATTGTATTAGTAGTTTATTGCTGGAAAAAGTTGAATGAAAGTAAAATAAAGTGTGGAAAGTTTTTTAGAATAAAGCTGTAAAGAGTACTGGCCTCATACACTAGACAAAATATTTAGAAGTGTCAGTATTTATAAAATTTTGTTTTATAAATACCGATATTTAGTTTAAATATGATTATAGCATTGTAGTGATAAAAGTAAAATACAACTTGGCAATTCCTAACAAAAATAATGTTTATAAATATAAAAATGTAAATTAAGAAATAACAATGCTACAATTTTGTTTTATTAGTAACCAGGACCGGCGCAAGGGCCATGCAAGTTATGCGGTCCCATAGGGCGCCGGCGCAGTTGGGGTACCGCACTGGCGTAGCCAACGTTTTTTTTTCTTTTTTTTTTAATTTATTGAAATTTTAAATTTCGATTTAAAAAAAATAAACTTATACATTTTTTAGTGTCCATAATGTGTATATGTACTTTATATGCTATTTTTTACATTTTTTCTCAGCACTTTAATGAAAAAATAATTAGATCAAGGATAGTAGTTAATTATTTATTTGAAAGAATAAGTTTGTGAGTTAATTGTTACTTTAAATCATGTTAAATATTTATTTAAATGTAAACTCAAATTAAGGGGCTCCAAAGTTTTTATTTTAAACTATTGATTTTGTATCTATCTGCTTCTGCACTTCAATGAAAAAAATAATTACAGCAAAAAGTAGTAGTTAGTTAATTATTTGAAAAAGCAAGTTTTTGAGTCATCATGGCGGAAAAATAAAAAATCTTTGGGTTTTTTTTATAGAAAGCGCAAATCAGATATGAAGAGAGAGGATAAAAAACAAGCAAATACATTGATTAAATTTTTCTATAGACTGGAAGAGCAAGATCCAAAGGATAATCAGCGTCAATTGCAGATAAGATACGAAATAAGAGTGAATTTATTACAATTAACTTTATTAATAAATACAAAATAATGATAATAAGTTAAAAAGATAATAGGTTACCATTTGTTTAAGCCTTAACAACTATTGTTTTTCTATTTTTATAATATTCTTTTCTTGATGTTCGGTGTTGGGTGTACTTTTAACCATAATTAAAATTATAATAAACGAAAAATAAAAAATTTGTACTCTAAGTGCAAAACACATCAGGAGAAAATTCACAATCTCACGATTTAAGAGGCATTCTTGATGAAGCAGTTGAAGCTAAATCTTTTTTTGTACAAAAGCGCTTTTATTTACAACCAAGTACCAGTAAAAGTATGTAAATTTCATTTTTATTTAAGGTTTAGCCTTTTCTTGAAAAAATAAAATTTACAAAAATACAGTACAAAGTCTTGTTTTAAATCAAAAACTTTAGTTTTAACTCCTCTGTGCAATTCTACTCAAGAACTCTTCCAATTCCTTGGTACTCAAGAACTCTTCCAATTCCTTGGTACTCAAGAACTCTTCCAATTCCTTGGTACTCAAGAACTCTTCCAATTCCTTGGTACTCAAGGATTAGCTTATCGTGGACCAAGTGAAACAGTTTTCAATGAAAGCAGAAAAAACTTTTTTTAAACATCTTCAAAATTTGACACTGTTCTTTCTGAACATCTTCGTCGGGTAACTGCCTAAGAAAATCACACATTCTTTAGGCAAAAAAATTCAAAATGAGTTTATTGGTTTTCTTTCCTGTAAAGTTATTGAGTTTATCTTGTGTGAACTGTAGAAAATTTTAAGTTTCTATAAATCTTGGCTGAACTTCTGACGTAATTTGTAAAGAACAAAAAATACATATAGTTTGGTTTGTGTATGCAGTTGCAGGAGAAGAAGTAAAGGTGAGGGGACATTTTCTTGCATTTTTTAATGTTTTAGAAACATCTGGGCAAGGGTTGACAGCTTGCTTATTAGACGAGCTTTTAAAAAAAGAACATTCTTACAAAATATTCATGGCAATGGTTATGATAATGGATTTAACATGAAGGGAAAGAATGTAGGCAACCAAAAAAAAATCCTTGACCGTGACCCACAAGCTTTTTTTGTTTCTTGTGAAAGCCATTTACTAAAGCTTGTTGTCAATGATGCGGAATTTTCCTGCACTCTAGTTGTTAACTTTTTCAGCAATATTCAGGAGATTCATAACTTTTTTTCTGGACCCTTAAATGGAGTACATTAACAAACTATGTAAACAATTTGGCTATTAATCCTACAAGTAAAACCTCTTATTATAAATACTATGGAACTGGTACAAAAACTGGACATCGATCCAGAGCCGTCCCGAAAAGATCTTATAGAAACATTTGTAGACTGCCAACTATAGATTTTGCTGATTCCAGTGTCCAATATGCCGATTAATAAATTTTGTAGGGGGCTAGTCACCCTCCTACTCTACCCTTCGGGACGCCTCTGCATCGATCTAAAGTTCTCTGATGAAATTGTGGTCAAGTTAAGAAAGATTAAAAAGCAATTTTACTATAAAGATGAATCTGCGAAGTCGGCAATTTTTTTTTAATTTCTTTTTTGTAGTTTTACAGGGTGACAACCATAAGGTGAAACACATAAAGTAAGCTATATTTTCAAATTTAAGAGTTATATTTATTCGAAAGTGATATCAATAGAAAGCTACAAGTGTATTTAACAAGTTTTATTGGTTTAATTCGAACCTGTCGCCCTCTGCTTTTATGCAGGCTTGACATCTCTTGAAAAAGTTTTCACACGCGGCACGCACGGTTTCTTGTGGCATTTTGTCCCAAATGTCGATTAAAAGTTCCTTGAATTGGTCCAAAGTTGTTAATTTATGCTTCCCCAGTTCTTGTAGCATGTATCCCCAGACAAAGAAATCAAGGGGATTGAGGTCAGGACTCGAAGCAGGCCATTCTTTGGTATCGATAAAATCTAGGAAATTTTGCTTGCAGTAATCTTGAACAACAATAGCCTTGTGTGCAGGGGCAGAATCTTGCTGGAACACCCATGGATCATCACCATACATTTCTTTAGCCTTAGGTTCAATCAAAATTTTGATCACATTCTGTAAGTAGTATTCTTTGTTGATTTTCACCCCTCTATCGATAAATTTCAGAGGAAATTTCCCCTTTTTCGAGATGGCCCCGAATACCATGACCGCCGAAGCGTTCTGATAACGAGGGACAATTCTAACGTTTAAAGGAACATCAGAGAGCTTTACAGCATAAACTCTGTCATTTTGTCTGTTCAACGGGCGCTCCAAAGTGAACATTTTATTGTCCGAAAAAACAATATCTGCACCACCGTGCCGCTTCAATGGCGATTTGCAACGCTTGACTCTTTCCACCTTGTTTTTGTCAGTGAGGCCGGCAATTTTTTGTTTACGGTAGCACTTAAGTCTTAAATCTTGTTTTATAACCTTTTGCATAGAGGTATATGACATGTTCAGCTCTTTAGCTAGCTGCCGACCTGAGCGAGCAGGATTTCTTCGTAAACGTTCTCTTACCACTTTGATGATTGCTGGAGTGCGCTTGACGCGCTTTCTTTTTCTAGTTATAGCTGGAATTGTTTGCCCAGTAGTTTTGTAACGAGATATTGTTCGACTAATCAATGATTTGCTGACTTTTATATCATTTAGGCGTCTCCAAATATCAGCTTGACTTTTTTTTGTGTAATGAAATTATCAGCTCCCTGATAGGATTTAGATCTGTATTTTTCATACAATCCCTCATTTTTTCTTCCTCAAATTTTTAAAACTTTTTATCAACAAATGTCAAAACAAACTGTAAACAAGGGGAAAGTCATATGGTACGGGGTTAATAAATGATTGGGGTTCGAAAATGTGTTTCACCTTATAGTTGTCACCCTGTAGACACTGCAATTGATGAAAGACTTAAACAGATGGAAAATTACAGGAAAAATATCGAATTCCTCTATAACATAAAAAATTAAAAATGTGAAACAGATGCAGTTGATGGCAAGTGTGACGTCAACAGGAATGAACTGTTAGGTGAAATTATAATCTTAGCTCCAGTGTTGCTGAACGATTATATAACGATAGCTTCCCCAAAACAATACTGTCATAGTCAATATTTTCAAAACTGTTTGATTGACATCATTCCTGTGTGCGTAGTATTGAAAATTTTGCTTTTGTTCTCCGTATCAGTGGGCAGAGGAGAAAAGGAATTTTTCTAAATTAACAATTTTTGAAGAACAATTATGTTAGTAACACTAATTCTATTTCTATTTAAAAACATAAAAATGTAAGCTCTCAAAATATTTTTTTTAGTATTTTTAAAGGATACACTTTTTTTATAAAAGGGGGCGTGATCTCCAAACCGTGATCTCCCATGTACCAAAAAAAATCCTTGAACCGGCCCTGTTAGTAACTAGGATATTAATTAGAATTCGTGTGGATTAAGGAAGAATGAATTGTGGTCACACGATGAAGTTTTTTGATAAAATATTTTTTTTTTGTTTCTCTAGCTTGTTTGTCGGTTTTTACTTGACTGAGTTTACGCTAATTGCCCTGAAATTTAATAGTTATCTTAACAACTGCACTAAATTTGGGGTTTTAAAAATGTTTTAATAATATAAATTAGGTCTCCTGGAGATATAATTCGTCGTCATCTAAGAAAAGTTCCTGTAAAACGCAGTCCTGGCGGTACTCCAATGGTGTTAAGAGATTTTAGTAAAAGTACTGGAGAAGGTCTCACGCCCATGTTAAGCAATGCTCTGAAAGATAAATTTAAAGTAAGTCATTTAAAGAAAATAACTGTAAAGAAAATAAAAGTTGTTCGCCTGTTATTTGTTAATTATTTATTTAGAATGCTAACGAAAATGTAAAATCAAGCCCTTGCACGCCTAACATAACACTTCAGTTTGTATGTTGTTATTTATCTATTTTTATATTTATATTTTTATTGCATTTAGTTTATTCAAAATTAGTCATTTAATTTACATAATTTTAATCTGTTGTTTTTAAATTTTTTTAATTTTAAACATCAACTATTTTGTATTATTAAAAACTTATGATTTTATTTTTTTTAATACTTAGGATTGCGAGGCTGTCTGATTGAAGCAAGATAATTGATTAATATGCACTCGGTTGTTTATCACGCTAGGGTTGTCAATATCTGATTATTTATGCAGTAGAACACAGTCAAATCTTAATAAAAAAATAAGTTTTGCATTGCGCTTTCATCCATAAATAACCGGGTTTTGACAACCCTATATCATGCCAAAATTTTGACAACCCTTTATCACGCCAAACCCTTTTTATATATACACTTAAAAGTATACACGGATGAAGATTAATCTTTAATATATACATTTTCGGACTTTTGAATTAAAGTACTTTGTTTAAAACTAAAATAGTGACTCTAAATATTTTTATAAAAAGTCTTTTAGACGGATATTTATAATGACCAAACTGCTGGATGTTATTGATGTATAATGTTTGTTGCTAGGTGCTGTTGATGTATGCTACGTAATAATAGTTTTTAAATTTATTTTACACCTGTGATATTGTAAATTTTGGAACTTAAAAATATTTTTTCAATACGTAGTTAAAATTCTAAGCAGCCGACATTTTTAAGTAAATAATTAAATATAATTTTTTTTTTCTTTTAAATTTTTAAACGAAAAGTTTAAATCAAGTTTTAAAAGTATTTATTATGTCACGAAGAAATATTAACTTATAAGTTAAATACGTTTTTATATTGTATATTCTTTTGATTAATTATAATTCTATATATATTGAAACATTCTTTAATGCATATTATATCATACATGAATGAAGTATTGTAAGGATTCGTGCTTTGAAGATTAGGATAAAGGCGTTTTTTGAACAAAAACGTGACTTTTGGAACTTCCATTTTACGTTAAGAAAAAACTAGTTGGTCATATGAAAAAAGAAATATTGTGAATATTTCCTTCACAATTGATTTACTATTTCAAGTTAGCAGTCAGTATTTTTCAATAGTTATTCAGGTTGTTTAGTAAGAAAAACATTTTGGGTAAGTTGCCAAAATTTTCATATTTTTTTTTTGTTTTTTTTTTTATTTTTTTTTTAAAGTATAATAAATTTTGAAAAGCTGATTTAAATTTAAAAAACAAATCATTTATTAAATTTTTTAATTTTTAGCAAATTTTAAAAATTTCATATTTAGAGCACAAGTAGTTTTTTTGAGATAATCACTGCAACGATATGATGAAATTTTGGGATTTCTGAGACAAAATTTACTGTAACTTCTGGGACAAAGTTTACTGTAACTGTAAAGTTTTTGAATTTTTTTTAGTTTCGTCATTTAGAAGGTAATTTTAATCAATTTAAATGTGAATAATTAGTGGCCTACCACCTTAAAGTAATAATGAATTTTTGACTTAAAATGATTGCGAAAATAAAAAATGAATTTTTTTTTATTAATTTGCACTAAATAATGCATTAATCATTTTTATAGTTTGTGCTAACTTACCCCGAGGTGCTAATACATAGTCCGCGACCCGCAATATAGCTACTAAGTTAGCATGTAGCCCGCTACATGCCTACTTATAAAATATATTATATAATATTTTAAATATGTTGTAAACAAATTTAAATAAAATATATTATGTTAATTTTAGTAATGTAAAAACAAAGTTTGCAAAAATAAAAAAACAATTTAATTAAGAAATATTTATTTTTATTAAATATATTACCTGATTTTCGCGATATCAAATAAAAATTGCGCTTAAGAACAGTTAGATTGGAACAATAGATGGTGCACAATCTATCTAAGTCTTAACATGGATTTTTTTAACACCTAGTTAAAAATTTTTACCAACTTAGTATTCAATACATTGTCAACTTAGTATTCAATACATTGTCACAAAACGAATTCTTCTTAAGATTCATGCCTATGACATTTTAGGTCAGCTAATTAACTGGATTACAAGTTGGCCAGCTAATAGACATCCTAGTGGATCAGGATGAAAAGTGGCGTCCCTCAAAGATCAGTTCTTGCATTACTGCTACTTGTGTTCTTTATCAATGAGTTACCAGGCTGTAATTAAAGCTATAACTAATTATACCCCGATGATGGCAAGATTATATGTGTTATCGATGTCAATATTTTCCCTCTGATTATAAAAAACTTCAAGTGGACATCGTTAGCGCTGTAAATTGGTCGTACAACTGTTTTGTGAATTTCAACTTTGAGAAGAGAAAAACTAACTAATGATAAGGCTGACATTGATGGCCGGGTTGGCAATTAAATGCTTGGTTGTCTCAAGAAGACATTTTAACGTCAGAGCTTTTCAGCTATGGAAAAACTGTACCAGCTGTTCATTTAATCGCATCTCATCATCTCTTTTTGTGCGGATTGAAACGCGATTTCACCGTCTTTTTTTTTTAACAAAAGCATTGATTTTCACAAGTTTAAAAAATAAGTTTAAATAAATACATATTTATCAAAATACAGAAACAAATGAAGAATTTGTGTCAATATATAAGAAGTTCAATATACATTTAACTATATATATATATATATATATATATATATATATATATATATATATATATATATATATATATATATATATATATATATATATATATTGGTTTCTAGAAAATGGACTTACGAAAATTTAATTTTTACTACTCGCCTGAAGATTGTGATACCACATGAAACTCGGTGTTGCGATATTAAATTATATTATGAACGTTCGCATTTAGTTAATTCCTGGTACTGCCGGTAATAGCAACATATACTATATAGCTCTAGTTTATCTATTGAGCACTCTTTTAAGTATACAATATTATACATGATAATATAAAGATATTTTTTTTATTCATATATTTACTTACGTATATATATATATATATATATATATATATATATATATATATATATATATATATATATATATATATATATATATATATATATATAATAGTAATAATAATAATAACAATTATAGATTAACGTGCCATTATTTACAACAATCACAATAGTAATGAACTTATTCAGAAGCACTGAGAAAGTTTACTATAAGTTCTTGAAAGCGTCTACGAAGTATTCGTACTTCAGTCTTTTTGAATGTTTCTAAAGTGGTTGAGTTACCTGTGTTTATAGACAAGCCATTCCATATTTGAGGTGCATTCATGAAGAATGATTTTGGGAATCATTCTCCATGAATGCACCTTTTGAGGTGCATTCATGGAGAATGATCCTAGGGAAGTTTTTGATAGGCAACGAGTAAGTTGGCAACTGTGTGATGATCATGTGTTTTGTTTTGAAATTTGTGTTAGATATGCAGGAGATTTGGTTTTAAAAGTTTTATCTGTAATAACTGATATTAATAACTGATATAAATAAAAAAACTCTCACATGCCAATAGTATGTTGTCATTAGTACGACACTATGTTTCCCAATATATTCTTATATCAATTTACTATTCATTGTCCTCCTCACATCCGAGTTATTGTTGCATTGTTTTATCTCAATAAGGTCTATTACATCGTATAAACAGTTTACAGCGCACTTCCATAAGAATTGTTACATTTTCTCATTTACGATCTAATATCGAAAATAGGTTTTCTGGATTGAAAATTCTAAAATTTTAAGATCTTGTAAAGCTTTATAATTATCTCTTTATGTTTGATTTTTTTCAAAATAAGCTACAAAATTCGTTCAATAATTTCTTTATTAAAACAAGTGACACACACAAATATTACACTTGAAATACTGAAAAGTTTAACTTGCATACTTCCTTTTTCAAAATTATCAAATATGGCAAGTTCTCTATAAAACACCAATGTATTTCTCACTGGAACCAAATAATACCATTTATAAAAAAAAGATTTTAACTAAGTACCCTTTTATTACCAACATTCTTCTTCTCAATCAAAACCAAATTAAAAACTTTTTATTTGAGTATATATTAAATGAATATTAATTTTATCTTTTATTATTAATGCCTTTTTTATAATACTATATTTATAAAACTACTATTACTTTTTCTTTATACTGTCTTTATTTAACTTTATTACAATTATTATTATTGTTATTATCATTAATTTTACTTTGTTTTATTAATATTATTTATAGTGATAGTGATTCAAATAGCAATAGTTTTATGGTTATTGTCCTAATTTTTGTTAATGTTATGTTTATTTTAATAATTTTTTTCGTAGTTATAAACTTTACTATAATTATTTTTACCATAGTTTTTATCATTAGTTATAATTTTTAGTAAAGTTATCATGTTATAGTTACTGTTTGTAATGTTTTTTTATTCACATTAATATTATTATTATTATTATTATTATTATTATTATTATTATTGCAATTATTAATATTATCTTTATTAGTTATCTTTATTTATTTATTAGTGCTTTTTTTTTTCCTTGCTTTCCTTTTTTTTTATTTTTTTTTTTTATTACTTTTTTTTTTTTCCTCTTTATCTTATTTTAAATTCATTCTATGTTTTATTTATAGTTTTTTTTCGTTTTTTTTTTTGTATTTTTTTAGGTGTCACTCCATTGACTAGTTTTTAACTATATGAGTGACACCTAATCTTATTTATGTGAGTTTAAATATTATTGTAAATTTTCATATTTAATGGTTAATTAAATGGAGTAAATAGTTTATAAATTATTCTTTGATGGATTGGTAAACAATGAAGAGATTTTAGCAGTTTTTTTGATCTTAATTGCAAAGGAGAATAAGCTATTTTGAGTTCGCTGGAGTTTTTTAAGATTTTTTTTGTAAGAACCTGATAAAAGACTGTTACAATAGTCAAGTTGAGAGTTCACAATACCACAAGTTATTGTGTAAGTTGCTTCTTTAGTGAGACATTGACATATGTGGCGAAGAGCATGAATATGGTAGTTGCAGGATTTAACAGTGTTGTTTATATGTTGGTCTAAGGAGAGTGTTGAATCTAGGGTGACACTTAGGGTTCTTACCAAATTTACTGTAGTTAGTGTTGTTCCAGAGAATGTAATTTTAGAATCATTTTAAAATTTTCCAGTTTATTTCCAAGATCCAGATAAGATAGCTTCTATTTTCCTTGGGTTAAGAAAAGTCCATTTTCTAAAAACCATTTTGTGACTGCATTAGCACATGCGGTGATTTTGTTAATGTTAACTTTTCCTGGTTTAATGAAAGTATATAATTGGATATCATCAGCATATTGATGAAGATTTGTTTACCTATAATACTATATACGGGTGAAGCAAACATTGAAAATAAAAATGGACCTAATACACTACCTTGTAGTACTCCTGTTCAACTCGTTACAAACTACATTTTGGTTGTGATTGATTGTACAAAACGCTGCAGATATTTCCAGAGAG